GGTAAGTGCCACGAATCAAATATAAATAACTTTCTTTATGGCAGAGCCGCGAATTTTATGAGCACAACTTTGGAAGTTCTTATGTAAAGTTGATTATTTGGCTTATGTATATTATATATACAAATTATTATGGTTATGTGAAACAAATTTCAATTTCGTGAGGTATATAGTATATGCTCGCATACCGAATTTCATGCTTATAGCTCTCAGAACTGCTGAGTTCAGTTAGATATAAAGTTAATATTATGTGTAGTAAGTATAGTAGGTGTGCATATCTGATATAAATATCTTTAGTTATAGATCTTAGGCAGGCACGCCACATTTTAAGATTATCGCTCAAGAACTAGCTGAGTTCACTTAGTTATATTGCTATAATGATGCACCACGAACATTATATCTGCCTATATATCACTTAAATATCATAAAATTTGTAAAATACGCACACCAGCCAAATTTTCTGATTATAGCTCAAAGACTACCTCAGATCATTCAGTTAGATTGCTTATCGGGCATGATTTATATACAAATCTTGCTAAATTTTCTATAATATCAAGAAATAAGCTGCAAGGGCAAATTATATGCTTATAGCTCAAGGAGACTCTGAGTCCACGTAGTTTAATTTAATATAACAAATTTTAAATTCTACTCATTTCAGTTAGATATTATTTTATTTTCATTCCCCGTGGCCTGGCAAAGTTTTCTACATCTCTCGTAGCATTTCGCCTGCTTGAGTAAGAATATGAAATAGTTGCATTACTTTGACTTTCGTAATTTAATTGTTCATGTCTGTGCAAGTAGATGCCATTAAAATTTCATATGTGTAATGAGAGCATATGTATGTGCATGTATATGTATATATATATACTATATACTAGATATGATATATGTGAAACATGTGTCGCTCGCTGTCTAAGGCTAAGTTGCTGCTTTTTGGTAAAACAAACACGTTTTCATTAAAAAGTCTGCGTTTGATGGCACATCATGGTAGACACACACACACACACACACACATACATAAGTAGGGGCGCTGTGGGCGTGGCAGCTGCCAAGCAGCCTCAAGGTCATCAAGTGTGCTTGAGACTTTCGCCCAATAAAATTAACCAAAAAGGAAGCATGAAAAATTACCAAAAAAAAAAAAAATGAAGAAATTGTGGAAAAGGGGAAAATATAAAGCAAAACGAAAAGGCATAAGGCCAAACACAAAAAAAAAAAAAAAAAAAACTTAAACACTCTTTGCATTTTTAATATGCCGGCAACGTGTGCACTTTGCTTGCCTCATTTATGGAACGGTGATATCTTTGTAGCCTGCGTTACGTATACGAGGTGAGGTCAAAAATATATGATGAAAATATATCTGATATATGTTGCATGTATGTATATACAGCGAGACGCTAAAAAAGTTCTAGCATACACAACTCTTCAAGTAGATTCAGCTGGAGCACATGCATATCTATATATAGAACTTGAGCATTAATTCTGGCAAATCGTTTGACCACAAATCAATTTTAGCTAAACAAATTTTTTATGAAAATATGTGCTTGCTATATTTATAGAAGAACAAAAGGCAGAAGATTTCTAAATTTATGATCGAAATGCTGTTTACTTGGTATTTAAGATGATTAAAGCAAAAAGTAAATTTATGATGGTGAGAAATAATATTCGAGTAAAGCTAAAAAGTCAAGATATTAAAAACAAAGAGAAGTTAGTTGAAATATGTAAATATTTACAGCAAATTAAATTTATGCACTTTTGTAAAGATTTTTGCTCAAAGGAATACAAAGCTCTAAATAATTGGTATATTAAATAATTTTCAAGTTCTACTTAAGATTTGTTACTGCAAGTGTAACTAGGGATGGAATGATAAGGGACTTTTAAGGCGCCTTGTTTCTATATACACTCGTATCTTTAAAAAGTTTTTAGCTTAGTTTATTTTTAAAGCATTTAATGTTATTTGCAAGTTGCTTTTGATTTATACACCTCTCGCTGCTTTCTCGGCTGCTGTGCGATGTTTGGCTTTAACGTGAGCAAAAATTGATGATGGCGAATGTAACGGGACGCACACACAAAGCGTATGCCATGACCTGCATGTACAACAGGACATGCGACGCTGTCGAGTCACAGTCCCCAATCCGCCCCACCCCCACCTCTCTAGTCACCCGCTCTTGGCCAACTGCTTTTACCTGTCTAGCGAGCGGCGAATGCAAGCGACAAGTTGCGCTAGTTACCTATATAGCAAAGTAAGTGAGTGTGTGTATGAGTACGTCTGTGTGTGTGTGCGTGTATCGCAATTGATACAAGTAATTACCCACAGCTACAATTAGGGAATTTGTAATGCTTGCGTCCGCTTTTTGGTCATTCTAATTGTGCAATTAAGCAATATCAATTACAAATAATTACAATGATACACACACACACACACACACATCAGTTAAAGTTGCGCTCAAAAACGGGCAACAGATTTTTAAATTATGCATGAGACAGATAAGCAAAACAGAAAAACACAAAACACACAGGAAAACGAAAGAGAAAACCAAAGCGAAATGGAAATGGAAATTGCTGCTACGTTTTTGGCCTGGCCAACATACTAAATCGCAACAAAATCCATTTGGATACCCGTTCAGCCCTTAGCATACAATTGGCATATATTTTGCTGGTTTGCTGCTTTGCCTTCTGAGATACTCTTGAAGCTGAGGGGCATGTGAATTAAGTGCTTGATGCAAGCAGGGAGATTGATTGATAGTAGATAGTAGAGGAATCTATTGGAATCAAATTTTTGTTAAGAGTTTTTGATATGTTAAGTTGATATACCTAAGGAGCAAATTTAGAGGAAATATTATTTCTATAAGTCTTCACTAAAATTTAAAAAATTCAGGAAATAAGTTTATTTGCGGCGGTAATTGAAAAATTAAATGAAAATATCAAAAAATCTTCTAGATGTTCGTTTTATAGATTAGTTTTAAGAATATATTATAAAGCTATGTCAACATTTTTAGATTTTTTTAATTCGAATTTTGCATTTGAAGTTAAGTGAGTAAACAATATTTAATTTTTTTTTTTTTAATTTTTATTTATTTTTTATTTTTTATAATTATTTATAAGTATTTTAATATTTATAAGAAACGAATCTTAAAAATTATATAATTATTTAGAGGAATATTTTATATAAGAGGGATCTCTAATTAATTAAAAAATGAGTTTATTAATCTTATTATTCTCTATGTATATTAAATAATTTCTATTATTTTTATTTATATTTATTTCCATAATTATTTTGGCCTAATTTCCTAATGCCCAATTTCCATGCCTCTAAGTCATAGCCCAGCCAGCGCATACCCTATGCTTCTCCTCCTCTATATTTAACTTTTGCGTACATCCTGTTTCGTCCTGTTGCCTGCGCTCTCTAGATCTATGCCGCAATAACTTTCACATCAACTTGAGCTTTGAATAACTGGTCATAGAGTATTAAAGTTCTACAAAAGTTCTACTTTCCTTTTTTTTGGCTTTTATCGCAGCACAAACGCATAAATAATTGTTGAAAATTTCCACAACTTTTGCAGTGTTTTGAAAAGTTTCTGAGCGGAGAGGAAATTGATTTGCAAACGAATTTTACATACAAACATTGCACACATATGCAAAAATAAAAAAAAAACTGTTGTGCCAAGTGAAAACTGTAAGGGAATATCAGCTTCGCGCTAGTCAAGATTTGACTTACTTTGCTGCCCACTCTCACCCTCTCACCCTCTCCTACTCTCACTCTCTCTCCATCTCTGTCTCGCTACTTGTAATATAGCACAGAATTAGAAAATTGAATATGTCAGGCCTTAGCCATGCCGCGCCGCGCCGCGCTCAGCCAAGTCAAGGTAAAGCCCAAGCAAAACATTGCGACATTAAGCATGGGCGTTGCGAATTGGAAAATTTAATTTGCGATGGTCGCACAACTTTTCAAGACAAAAATAAAACAACAAAAAATACAAGAAACGAAAAAACCAAAAATATAAAAAATAAACACCAACAACAACAACAACAACAACGACAAAACATAAGAGAAGATTTCGGGGAAATGAGAGGAAAATCAACAGACAAATCTGCACAAAATAAGGCCACATTGTCGTCTCGGTCTGCGTATTTTCTTGAGCAGCTTCTTTTTTTTTTTGTTTGTTGCCCATTTTCCTTTTGGCTTGGATTTTTTTTTTTGGTTTTTCATTTGCTTTTGCGACTTGGCTTAAATTCTCATCTTCGTACGCTTGGGGTCTCTCTCTATCCCACTCGCCCTCTCTCTCTCTCTCTCTGTCTCTCTTTCTCTCTCTGTGTGTGTTGCTGGCATTCGCTTTTGCCTCAAATTTTCGTTCTCATTTGGCCAATTTTTTCATGGCTTAGTTGTTGCTGTGGCTCTTGTTGCTAGTATTGTTGCTGCTGTTGTTGTTGTTGTTGTTGCTAAACCAAATTTCAATTATTTTGTTTGTTGCCATTTTCATTACGTTTCGCTTTCATAGTCGCCTGTCAGCGTGTAACAAAGCGCAAAGCGCAAAACTTGCAAAGCAAAAAATTATGTGGAAAATGGAAAATTGCTTATAATACACACACACACACACACACAGTGTGAAAGAGAGATAGGGTGACACAGAGAGTGAGAGAGAGAGGGAGAGAGCTGTAGAGTTAGGGCCAACCAACACCGTCACACAATGTGGCACGGCCATTGTCCGCAATGTTGGCGTTGGGGAAAACCCTTGCATTTGGCACGCCCCCACCCAACAACGCCTACCTTTGCTCAGCCACTGCTGTCCACATTTTGTGGCTTTGTTTCGCGCTGCTTTGTGGCTGCGACTCTTTAAACGACATTAAACAGTTCTAGTGCCCATAATGAACTACACACAGCGCAGAGTCGAGGCTGCTCGCCTGGCTCTGGCTCTGGCTCTGGCTCTGGCTCTGGCTCTGGCTCTGGCTCTGGCATCGATGCGTGCAGCCGGCGCTTTGATGTGTACCTTCCCCTACTCCTGCTCCTGCTGCTGCTGCTGCTTCTCCTGCTCCTGTGCTGTCAAATGCAAGGCAAGGCAGCTTGGGCTGCCTTTTGTGTACATTTCACTGGCATTTTTTGCGCTGCTGCTGCCGCTCTGCTGCCGCTTTGCTGCTGCTCTGCTGCTGCTCTGCTGCTGCTGCTGTTGCTGTTGCTCGTTTTCGTTTCCATTTAATTTCTGTGGCCCCCTGCGCACTGCGACTCGCATTACAACATTGACGACATCGTCACATACGTGTGCCACGCCCCCCCCCCCCCCCCCCCCCCCCCCCTCGCACACACAGATCTTATCGAGACGATGCTTAAAATTCCAAGCACTCTCTTTTGTGCGAAATTTTCTCTTCGAGCAGTTTTTTTTTTCTCATTTTTTTTGGCTGTCGAATTGTTTTGAAATTGAAACTTGATTATGTCCTAACTGCCATGACACACACGATTTTGCCTGGGTAGAGTATGAGCCATGCCTACGCTGCCCTATACACTATTTCACTGGCCACTGGTCAGCGCCCGCCCTGAGCTGGATTGGGGTGCGCCTGCCTGTGCTGCTGGCCTGTGGGCTGCGTTGGGGGCGTGTCACTTTCATTTTATCGCTCCACTGCATTGTAAATATTTTCTTTAGTCGCGCTTTGCCAGTCGAAAATATAAATAAGGCAAACGCTTTGATAAACTAAGCTATAATCAACACACAGACAGCAGCGGGGTCTGCGAATATATATGTGTCTGTGTGTGTGTGTGTGTGTGTGTGTGTGTATGCAGTGGTGATGAGATTATAGACAAAACGTGCTTACATTGAAATCCCAAACTGGCATAGCTTAAAGCGAAGCAGCACATTAAAGAATATATTGCTGAATAATATTCATAAAATTGAGGTTTGAGTAAAAAATATATATATATATTTTTAATTTAAGAAAGTAATGGAAATATAGAAAAAATTTATGTAATAATAAAATCTTGTAAATAAAAAAATAAAAACCAAAAACAAATAGCCTGATTTCACATTCTAAATTTTTTACTATATATATGCACATAAATTTTTTAATACATATTCATTTGCTTAATTTATTATTGATGAATACCATATTTTTTTTTTAGAAATTTATATTTTGTATATTGTATTATTTATATTTATATTTATTTCTATTTTTTTTTATATTTATATTTATATTTATATTTATATTTATATTTATATTTATATTTATATTTATTTATTTTGATTAAATTTTAATTTACTATTTCATTTATTTACATTTATTCATTTGTTATTTATTTTTTTCATTTATATTTTTTATTATTTCCCAATTCGATATATTTTTACTATATTTAATATTATATTTCCTTATATTCTTTTTTATATTTTTTGGATAAAGTTCAATTTATGAATGAAATAATTATATTAGATTTATATGACTTTTTATTTAATATTATAAAAATTGTATATAATTTTTATCATTATTATATTTTTATATAAATATATTTTTTGCTTATTTTATGTTTGTTTGAATTATCACGCAATCTATTGACAGAATGACTTTCTATCCTGCTCAGATCGTGTCTAGTTCAATGCACAGCCAATCCCTTCAATTATGTAAGCAGTACCGTAATACCGTAATACCTCCTTCACTTTCAATACACTTTATGCCGTCCGGCTGCTCCGCAGAGATAAATTTGTTCGCTTCTCAGAAATTGCAAAGCAGAACAGGTTTAAGGTGGAAATAGAATTCAATAGAATTGAAATTGCAAGCCGATGCTTTTTACCTCATTCTCAATTTGCTGTCTCAATTTCAAATAACGCTACATATTTTCAGTTGAAGCAATAAGCAAAATCTCATAGACAAAAAATTCCACACATATAAAAATATTTTTAAAAACTTTAAAGATAATTTTAAAAAATTTATTTTTACCCATACATATAGGTATTCTTTGTTATTTATACGAACATATATATAGTCAGCTGCTATCTGCTATTCACGAGCTGAGCGGTGCCCGCATAGTCGAAAAACTGAGCTATCAGCAAATATGAGTTTTCCCTTTCAATTCGACGTTTTTCTCTTCTGTATTTTTCGCTTTTTTTTCGGTGTTTGCTGCGCCTTTTGCTGACAGCCGCTTTTCAAAAGCAAATAATATGAGTTTTCGGTTTATATTACACAGCTCGCTGCCTAAATTTTTGTTGCTTTTCTTTTCACATTGCTGGGGGTATTTCTATGCTCATTCACTGATGAGAAAAGAGTATATGGGTTTTGTGCAATGTCTGGCTTGAAGTCTATACGGACAGACGCAATTGAAGTGAGAGACTAGAAAAATTTGATATCTGTTGTTGAACTATAAAATTTATCACGTTTCAGAAACTATAGTTGTTGATGAGCTAGAGTTATAGAGTCTATATCTACGCCCATTTTGGGCGTGTCAAGTCTTTACTTTATCTTAGAGAAATTCCAAATGAATTTGACACAAATTTCAGCTGTGAATGAGTATTCTGCAGTCGTTAACGCCTGACTGCAGCGCTCTGACGTGTTTTCTTTTTGCTGTTTGTCTGTCTTTTTGTACATTTAGCTGCATTTGAATGAAGTCGACAACGGCGTCAACGTTTATGCACGAAATGTGTTTTTAATGAAGCCTTTTAACCAGTTCGCTTGGCCCGGCCTAATAAAGACAGCGGCGTCACTTATTTTATGGTATATATTTTGCCCCCTCTCCCACTCTCTCTCTCTCACTCTGATTTTGTGCCTTTGCCCATTTATATTTTATTTTTACAATTTTTATTTTTTTGTGCGTTTTTCTTCCCTTTTTCAATAAATCGCAAATGGGCATTTGTCCTTGCAGCGAATGGCAACGGGTAGAAATGTGCGAACTGTGCGAGCTGTGAGCTGTGGCAAAGGGATTGGAAATGGGCCTGGGACTGGGACTGGGACTGGATCTGAGTCTGAGTCTGAGGCTGTTGCTGTTGCCCGAAGTTTATGCAAAGTAGCTTTTAATATGTTTACGACTAAACATATTTTGGTGCGAGAAGGCGGACGGGGCTGTGCTTGGGCTGTGCACAGGTTAATAACGCCCCGCTCTTGCTTTTATTGTACAATTTTTAATAATTCCTTTAAAAAGCGATGCTGAAGCAGAAGAAGGAAATATTAAACTTTACTGCTGCAGCCGACGCCGTTTACATTTTTGGCCAACAACAAAATAACGAAACAATTTTTTTATTGTAATTTATTTGCTCAGCTGCGCGGCTATATTTAAGTGGCTCAACTTTAAATGAAATGTTAATGGACCAACACAGAGACGAGAGAGACATAGAGCTGCCTGCAGTTGGTATATTAAATTTCTTAAATTTTAAATAAATATCTCAAGTGCTTTTGTGCACGAATTAATTAAGATTTAAGCCGCTTAGAAGTTCGGCTTAAGCACACTTGACTAGGCCTTAGCTGCACGGCACAGATGCCAGAAATCCGGCACGTGTCACGTGTCGCCTCAAGTTTGAGCAGATGTAAATGCAAATACACTTTAATATGCTTTAAGCGCGACGTTGTTCCTCATTGTTTCCAAATAAGATTAAGCCTTTGGCGTACATGTGGCGTATGCGTAATATTGCGTATACGCCGCATCGGGCCGGCGCGCGTGTTAATTGTGTTAAAATTACGAGAGGTCCACATCACGTCGTTGGAGTGCAATGCCTTAACGACCGCCTGCATACATAAAACGCAGCTGACATGGCGCTGGAGTTGGATGGCTGGGTCCGGGTCGGTTCGTGTCTATAAAGCGCAAGCCCTAGGCGCGCGCCCAAATGTAGGCAATAAAAAATGTTTAAACCCTAAATTATTGTCAGCGGAGAGAGAGAGAGAGAGAGAGAGAGTGTGTGTGAGAGTGAGAGGCAGGGATGCATTATGCTTAGCTATAGCAAATGACATGGTAAGCCAAAAGTTTGCCGCTTACGCTCGGCACATTGTTTGCAGCAGCGAAATATGCGAGAAGCATGCATGGCTGGGGACGGAGGGGGGGCTGGTGAGGTACCCTGTGGGCGGGAATGCGTGACAGGAGACGCCACTTGATGATGAATGGATAGCACCTACGGCAATGTCGTTGACTTTGGCAAACAACTTGAAGAGCAGCCTGCGCTCTCGCTCTGTCAACTCTACCTCTCACTCCTTCTCTCTCTCTCTATCTCTCTCACTCTGTATGTTTGCTGCGCTTGAAGCTTGGGCACAAGTTTTATGGCATTCACTACTTTCAGCTGCGTGCGTTAATCTTATTTGCTACAACATTTTCGTACGCTCTGCTTGTGCGTAAATAAATGTAACAAATGTCGCCAGCTGCGGGCGTTATATATATTATATATGTATATAGGGGATATATGTACATATGTATATGCATGTAGTATATAGTATTGGCTGTGGGGCAGTTTGGCGATTTTAGCGGCATATTTTGTCTACTAAAAGCATGTCAGGGATTTTCGCCTTACAATAAAAACGTGGCACTGGGTCTATGCAGTCAGCCTTCAAAAAAAGAGAGGAAGCCAGTTCCTGTGTGTGTGTGCGTGTGTGTGCGCGTGTATGTATAAATGTGTGTGGCAAACTTGTAGCCAAAGCGTGCCAAGTTTCTGCTTTTGGTGCGTGTATTGAATGCAAAATTCAAAAGTTAAATATTGCACGCTTAACTGGCAAAAAGAAGACAACTTTATCTTCCCAGACGCTCGTGCGCTCTTATCTCATCTCTTCGCGCTGCTTCTTTGTCTCGTTATCTGCGTAGCTCTAAGGCAGCGGCATATTAAATTTAATTAAAGCGAGAAGCCAAAACGCAAATGTGATTACCATTTCAACTCCAACTGGAACTGGAACTTGATTTGACAGCAAACAGGAAATCTGACAACAACAAAATCTTGGAGTTCACTTGATACGCTGGCTTGTCAGCTGACTAGATACTGTAGCCCAGCCTGTCATGCCTCTCGCTCTCCCACTCTCTCCCACTCGCTGTCTGTCGAGCAACATATCTTTGCATATTTGATGGCGCATAATGGCGCAAAAAATTGTTTACA